AATGTTTTATAATTTTGGTTTCATCCCAACAAATTTTCCCGTTTTTCGATTTCATATTGACGCATTGAAATTTCCCTATGTTTCATGCGATGAATTTGATATTCCAATGTTAAAAAAGGGACAGTACATTTGTAAACAAGTAAAATAATCGTATCCAGGTTGTGTCGTGCATTCAAAAGTTCTCAATAAATGGTCGGGTACTTCATATGGAGATTATGACATTGTCTGCTAGTAGATTGTTTATATATAAAAAACAAATAAAGAGGTTCATTGTATGAGAGGGATGTAAAAATCTTGAATATGAATTATGTTGGAATTTTCTGAAAAAAGTTTTTTATTCACCGGGAATCCCGAATGCTAAGTTATAACCACTTAGGAGTACCGAACAGGACCAAAATAGAAAAATTCCGTCAAACATATATTTTTATACCCTTCACCACACTATGGTACAGGGTATTATGTCTTTGTGCATATGTTTGTAACAGGCAAAAGGAAACGAGATAGACACATGGTTCCTTTTGATTCGAATTGGATTAAATTTGACACAGCTCATTTATTTTGAGAAAAATCGATTCCGAACGATGTGTATTAAATTTTGTGAAAATCGGTTCAGATTTAGATATACCTCCCACATATATTTTCGTCCGATTTAAATGGTGCACCAAAGTCCCTATATATCCTTCGATTTTCACGAAATATAGCATAGGGTACTGAATTGAGTCTAGAATGATGGGAGGTATGTTTCGGAAAAATCGGGTGCACCGAACTCCTAATATTTGTGCGATTAGCACAAAATTTTGCACAGCGTATCAAATTGAGACTTGAATGAGGTTATTGCGTTTAGTTGAAATTGGTGCATAGCTTCCATATGTATTTAGAACGGGTGTCTGATTGAAATTGATTGATAATTGTCTTCATATATGTATGCTAACCTCCAAAATCCCGCAATGTGAAATTACAGTTACTTTGGGGTAATGTGGTGCTGCCGTTAACCAGCTACCCCTAAATATGTACCGAAATACAAATCCGAAAATTAGGTTAAAAATTTCCCCAAAACCTTAAAAAAATTAAACATTGGGGTATGATGCACCCAAAAAGGCAGATATATTTAATTTCCAATACCAAATGTCCTAGGAGTAATGCAAATTTACAAAGCTCTGTTTTCATTATTGCGACCTCAATCGAACGGGCATGGCTTAATTGACAAGGAATAGCCTTTAAGAATAAATGGGGTCTCTGATGAATATTTCAAGTATGTTCTTTTAATTTTTTAGCACTTTTTTCTGGCACTTTTTTAAAATTTCTAGCACTTTCTAGCATTTTTTTCAACAAAATCTAGCATTTTTTCTCAACAAAGTTTTGGCAACACTGGCTATTGTCCCCATATAATGGTACCATATTGGGATATTTGGTGTTTTTGAGGATTTAGGGCACATTTTTCAATTAAAGTACCTATTTGGGGTTCTCATTAAGTACCATATCTTAATCCAAAAATTATCAACAATGGTCCACTATTAAGCGTAGCTCCCATATAACAATATTCCATATATTTTGGAATGTTTCGGCACATGTTTTCTCAAATCGCCTGTAATTTAGTATTTTGAATCCCCAGTACATACCAAAAATTTTTAATTGCCCGGGTTACGTTATTCGGTATTTTGGTCACGTTTTACAGCCTAATTGGCTCTAATTTGATATTTTGGTTGTCAAATCTTCCTGAAAATGTAAAAAATAACGATTTTTGAAGGTGTGTGGGCATATCCATAAAAAAGGGCAACAGTAAAGTACGGATATAGCGAACTAGTAGGGACCGAGCAAATTAGTTCGTTATAGAAAAAGTTCGTTGTATCCGAGGTAAGGCAAACCCTAGGATAAGCAGGAAATATATATTCAGTTCCGAAATTTAGAGGTTTTGTGTCCTTTTTGACAGCGCTGGTAACCTAAAAAGCCAAGGGAAAAATTCCTATTTCCAAGATATTTGAAAATATTCGAATTAAGATTTCTCGAAAACTTTGCATTTTAGTATATTTGGCAATATTACTGATATAACGTGAGGAATATTTTTGTCTAATACGTTAACCCTCTGTCGACGCTTTACCAGAAATTATTGAAAACTCATTTAAAACGGGGATAATAGCAGGTCAGAATATTCTTCAAAAATAATCGCCTTAAAGTTTTACTATAAGTTTCAGAATAGATAAAATTTCAAAAATCAGCCCAAACGTCAAAAATCATAAAATTATGAAAACTCATTTTGGGATTATAACCGATCTTATTTGTACCAATTTTTCCCACTCCATCAAATTTTAGTAAAAGTCACTGAACAAGAGAAATCTGTATATTTAATATATAGATGTCAATTTGGCACAAATAATTTAAAAAATATTAGCAATTTTTTACATAGAAATTTGGCAGTATTTTTTTAATAAAGTGTATGAAAGTTAAATGGAACTTGATTTTTTGTGCAAAATTTCAAAAAATAAAATATTCTACATCAAATTTCACTATAGGTCTCAAAACAAACTATATATTTTCAATAGTTTTTAGGAGTTAATGTATGAATTAACAATATTGGCAACAAATTCTTTGTTGACTCCAGTAGGAGTCAATAGATGGAGAAATGTGCCAAAATCTTCAGTAAGACTACATCTCAGGATTATTTCGTAAAAGACAAAATTTTTCCGCATCGAATTTCACTATTAGTTACAGAAGAAACGTTATCTCTAATTTGGGTATATATTTTCTATTTCATAAAATTTCGCAGATTTTGAAAATTTGGATATACACATATGTTCTCTGAAGAAGATCGGCCCTAAAACGAATTTTCATATCTTTTAGATGTTTAGGCAGATTTTTGAATTTGGTCTATTCTGAGACTTATAGTAAGAATTTATGGCAAACATTTTTGTCTAATATTCGAACCTGCTATAATCGTTTTAAATGAGTTGTCAATCATTTCTGGAAAAGGGACCGAAAATACCCCTTCAGTAATATTAGCAAAAACACCATGTACCTAAAATGTAAGGCTTTGGAGAACACCTAAACCAAATATTTTTGAATATTAAAACAACGTAATGTGGAGGGCAAAGTTATATGAGGCTATCACCAACGTCCACAGTATTTTATTTCGGTGAGTGGGGTGCTGGCTGCTGGTTCAATGTGAAAATTGCGGGACCAATATTTATTAAATCGTGAAAGAATTACCGAAAACTTGAAGTCATCATTATATGAAGTGCTACGCCTAATGAAGGACCTATATGGCTCAATTTCGAAGCTAACATTTTTGCATCACAATACCATCCTTCATGCTAAATATTAAAAATACCGAAAATTGATAGGTATCAATATATGAGGCCTAAATGCGGACCCATGTAGTTTATCCTCGAACCTGATGTTCTAGTCTTTTATCTAGATATTCACCGAAGGTAGAATGATTACAACAGATGGCTAAATCATATTAAAATTCCAAATTACAGCGAATTCGATTGAAAAAGGCGTTCAACAACCTCAAAATAAGGAAAATTGGGGAGTACCCTTAACCTATATTTATATTAACCTAAAACCGAAAAATAGCCTATATTTATAATTTTTAGTAGATAGATTTGCTACCCAATAAGAATTCAAAGTTCTAAATTGCAGCCAATTTGGTAGAAAAATACGCTCAAAACCCCCAAAATATTAAAAAATTATAAACCTATGTTATGAACCTATGTTTAAACCTATGTTTATAATTTTAGTCGAGAAATTTGGTTACCAATAGATGCCCAATGTACCAAATTTCAGCAAATTCGGTTGAACGTGTTCATGAACCCTAAAATACCAAAAATTGGTGGTACCCTTATATGGAAGCTATGCCTAAATGTGGGCCGATATAGTCCATCTTCGAACTTGACTTACCTACAATTCTATGCAAAATTTTGGCGATCTATCTCGTCATAGAACTTTACGCCGATCAAGAATGTATATACTTTATAGGGTCGGAAATGATTATTTCGATGAGTTACAAACGGGAAAACAAACTTAATATATCCTCCATAGTATGCTGGAGGGTATAATAGCGTATCTTCTATTTTTAGCCCCTCTTTCATAATGCGTTGGAATTTTCTGATAATTATAAAAAATGAAATTTGTTGCACAGTGTTATTATCAATTATATCTAAAGGCCGTGAGTGACCAGCCTTTTGTGTCTTCTATGTCAGAAGATAAAAAAAAATATTAGGGGTGAATTGTAAATATATTGATTGTATTTGATTTATTGAAGATTACAAATTTTATTTCGCCTCCGAAAGTCGTTTTAGTGGCTTCGGAAATGCCCATATGACATTTCGTCGTTCACAACTTTGTGGCAGTCAAAATCATAATAAATTTTCATACGGACCACACTGCTCAGGACTAAAAACATGTTTGGACAATGAGATCCCAATATTTCGCAGCAAATAACGCAATCGCTACTCCTCTTTAACTTGAATTGTACCCAGAAAAAATATTAAACAATATATCAATGATCTGAATTTAAAAATCCTATTTCATACAATAATAAAATATGCAATATTTCGTATCCCATTGAATAATTGGATATTTTTTCACTTTAAAAGATTTTGAACTTCGCTCAAAACTTAACAAAATTGCAGACATTTGAAAAAAATTAAATCTTTTAATTCGATTATGCAAAGTTACAATTGGTCTGTTCCCTTACTGCAAGAATCTACAAATTTTTACTATTTTTTCCGATATCATAAAGGAAAAATTGTTATCGTAGTAAAAAATTGTACATCCTTGCAGGTTCTGGAACAGACCAAATGTTATAAAATAATTGCTCGGTTTGGGTATCTGCTATAATTTTAATTTTTTTTTTGTTATTATAATTATTTTTCCTTTAGCAATTAAACATTTTTTGTCAGTTTTTTAGGGGAACACATACTTTATTTATATATTTGCATATTATTCAAAAAATTGTATTAAAGCCGATTATCTGACCCGTTAAGTAAACACAACAATAATTAATATTCATAATGTTCATTAATTCCATGAGCATTAGCCTGTTGTTTAAAACATTTGCCATAATCTTCAGCTGCTTGACAAGGATCCGACGAGACTTCAATGTTGGCGCAAGCATTGATAATTTCCGAAGCCACTTTCATTTTATCAGCATTGCCATCGGTTACTTTTTCGGCATGTTTTAAAGCAACTTCTGTGGCAAATTTTCCAGAGGCGTCCATCTGAAAGATAATCGTAAATTACTACAAATATCTACATCTATGAACTTCTAATCAATTAGGAAGCATTCCATACCACTTCGAACTTCTTCATTAAGCAAGCACGCAAGCATTTCCCTTCCATAGTTGAGGCTGGTTTCCTTCCCACCAATTCTTCTATATCGACTGAAAAATAAAGAATTTTGTTATATTTTGTTTAATTGAAATTGTAGCCTAACATCATTTCTCTGAGGGGAGTGTCGATTAATCATAGCCTATCCCTGTCATTTTATTTCTCTGTAATAATCGTTATTTTATGTTTATGAAAAAATCTTACCATCAGTGGCACCAACTTCACTTTTACATTCTTCGGCTTTAGTTTTAAGCTTTTCAATGGCTTGTGCCTTATCGAATTCTCCACGAACGACAGCAGCTCCAAAAATGCACATAACAGCCAAGGCTACCAATAATTTGTTTGCCATTGTAGTTATTTTTTGTTTCAAAAACGTTAAATAATTTATTATGTATAATGTTTGGATGTTAAATTCCAACTGTTATTCCACTTCGATTTTCCAGTTATTTATTTGAAATTTAAACTTAAACTATGTTCCACTTTTTTACTGAAAAATAATTCATGTGTGAAATTATGGGTTATGATGTTCCACGGTGACGAAAAATACTACAAAGTAAAGACGACCTTATAGTTTTGAATATTCCATTATTTTCTTTTTCAAATGTTATCTTTGAACTTTGTTTTGAATATTTGAATGAACTTCCTATTCAATGATTGTGACGTCAGCAATTGGATAGCAACCAAAGTATTTATTTTAAGATAATTTATATAAAATATTCAGATGAGAGACATGAGACAGATTAAAGTAATGTGTACAAAATTTGTTTTTATTTTCATACCTCATAGTAGTTAATAAAGCTCATTAATTCCCCAAATTTTCAAATAAAACACAGTCAAATCTATTTTTAAATCAATTGGATTTAATTGAGTCATTTCTTTTATTTTAAGAATAGGTCTCTGAGGGATAAGTCCGAATTCCAAATTCCTTACCCAATTAATGTCATATTTCGAAGTTGTTAACCGATTATCCTTAATTGTCATTTTACAGAAAATTTTTGGTGCTTTCGTGAGCCTTACTGATCAGTGATCACGTAAAATCGACACCACATACAAAGCGTAATGTTTTTGATCACATTTAAAATACGCATTCACATACACACTTTATATAATGTGTATTGAGGAAATCCTGAAAATAAAAACTAAATTTTATACGTGATTTTGGAACAACGCAATAAGCTCAATAGGAGACAATTGGGTTCCTGAACCCAAAATATTTTTGTTGTTTTGTATTTCAATTGCGACAAGATGTGAAAGAATGAGGTGGAAATAATTATTACAGGTGATATTTATGACGAAACACAAGTTTTACAGGAAACTCGAAGAGATCCCAAAGCAAGATACTTACAGAAGGTACTACCCCTTTTAAATATTTTGATATTCCTATGCAGATCTTCAAATGGAAGTGGGTAACACACTCTTCGTATAACAATTATTCAAATAGGTTCATACATTGAATTTGTAATATTATTTTCGCATTTCGTATAACCTCTCAATAAAGATACCGCTCCATATTCAAGTTGCCATATCCAACATTTTTGCGTCCGTCCATCTGCTGTAATCACGGAAACATTTGAAGGAATCGAAATATAGTTCCATACTCCAAATAAAATAGCTTCTGGGGAGAATATCCCACCAAAAAACTAAGCGAACTGATAAAGATCAGTGGCGAGATCCGAAACTACATTCTCCACTAATAAATAGTTGTTTTTTATAAAAACAACAAACTGTGATTCAGCCTGACTATTTTAAAAAATATATATTTTTTGATATTTTAATAATAAATCTCTATTAAAAGTGATATCGGTCACTTTTTGGTATATCCCCTGTTACCCCCATTATTCAAAAAAGTCGCGGAAGTGTATGGAAAAGTGTGTTTGGAAACTTAATTTTAAATACATATCAGTAAGCCTATGGTTGACATTTTGGGCATAGAAAAATTTAGGTTCTGCCGATATTAAAGTATTTTTTACAACCTCAGTCTTATAATACTCCAAGTTTCTTTGGGCTAAATATGTTTCAGATAATTTGAGGTCAATTTACAAATATCCACCCATCCCTCGTTCTCTCTGCCTGACTGGTGCGCATGATAACTCTCGAAGGTAGGTACAAATTTTATCCAATATTTACGTATCGTAATATTTCTTCGAAACCTGCGTTAATTTTGTAAATTTTTCGGTCAACTCCTTCAGGTTCCTCTCCCACAAAATGGTAAAAATTTTGCTGAAATTTAATTTTATAATGCGAACAAAATATCCGATTTGAACCAAAGCCATTAGAATGTTTGAAGATGGGGCTGATCGGTACACTGCATCTAGTGCCTACCAACAAAATGTCATAATTGTGAAAATTTGTAAACTCAATATTAATCGAATTGAATTCCGATTTCATCCAAACTTTAAACATTCTAATACTTTTACCTAACCTAGATCAATTTCGGATCAATCGGTTCACCCCTTTAGGGGTGTTAAAATTTTGAAAATTGCATATGAAGCTAATGGAGTATCAGATTCAGATCGGTTAAATTTACACCATAATGTTTTCATGAAAATGGAATCCATCGGTCCACTCCATCATATACCTCCTACCCCAAAAGAATAAACACTTTTTACTTGATACCGTACTTGATTGTTTTATCAACATTTTGATTTGATTTTTTAACAAAATTTAAATCAAACTATCAAACAAACTAAAACAAACTATTTATGAATGGCCTTTATTATTTGAAGATAAATTTTATTATTGGAAGTGTCAGACGATGGCTTACAAAATCTTATTTTTTCACTACAGTCGAAATCGTTTATAACGACATATCAGTTATAAAAGACTTATCTGGAGGAAAATTCTACCCTTTATCTGATATCGTCTATAACGACATATCTCTTATAACGACCAATTTCGCTGGTCCTTTCACTGTCGATATAAGTGATTTCGTCTGTAGTTAATTTTTCCCAATAAAAATGGAACCCAGAAATATCAACTTCTAGTTATTGTGTTAATTTCGAAAAATATTCACCTTATTTGGCAGTTCTACTAATTGTTCGGTTCTAGTAACTAAACTACAAGATAAAATCACAATTTAAGCAAGAACAATGGTTTATTTTCATTTTTAGATAAACGTAATTATATTTTTTTTAAATAAATAATTATATATTTTTTTAAATTAAATATTTGTTTTTAGTTCTTGGTAACGTATACATTTATAAATTTATTATAAGTTATATGTTGAAAGAGGTCGGATAACAATTTATCATCAACAATTAATATTGATAATGTTCATTAATTCCATGAGCATTAGCCTGTTGTTTGAAGCATTTGCCATAATCTTCAGCTGCTTGACAATGATCCGAGGAGACTTCAATGTTGGCACAAGCATTGATAATTTCCGAAGCCACTTTCATTTTATCAGCATTGCCATCGGTGACTTTTTCAGCATGTTTCAAGGCAACTTCTGTGGCAAATTTCCCAGAGGCGTCCATCTGACAGATATATGTAAATGAATACAAATAAATACAAAATTGTAATCGGTTAAGAAGCAGTTCTTACCACTTCGAATTTCTTCATTAGGCAGGCACGCAGACACTTTCCTTCCATAGTCGAGGCTGGTTTCCTTCCAACCAATTCTTCTATGTCGGCTGAAAAATAATTAATTTTGTTTAATGGAAATTCAAATTTCAATCAATAGGAAAGTGCAGCTTATTTGGATTGTCATGTTTATAGCCTAACATCATTTCTCTGAAGAGAGTTTCGATTATTTTTAGTCAATCCCTTTCATTTTATTCCTTTGGTGCAATCTACTTCTCTCTTGGAAAATCTTACCATCCGTGGCACCAACTTCACTTTTACATTCTTCGGCTGCAGATTTAAGTTTTTCAATGGCTTGGGCCTTATCGAATTCTCCACGAACCACAACTGCTGCAACAAAGCACATAACAGCCAAGGCTACCCATAGTTTTGCCATTTTAATAATTTTTTGGTATTTAACTGTCAATGATTTTTTAATGTTAAATGTTTGAATATTCAATTCCAACTGTTATTTCACCTAGAATTTCTTGCTATTTATTTCAAAAAATAAACTAGCATTTTCACTTTATTTCCCATCCTTTAGTTGAAAACAATTGATGTGTGAAATTATGGGTTATAATCTTGAGAGTGATGAAAAATACTACCACATAAAGTTGACCGAGTAGTTTTGGACATTAAATTGTTTTATTATCAGTTCTGAACTTTGATTTGAATTTCTATTCAATGATTGTGGCATCAGAAAAAAAGTAATAAAAGTTGATGTAGCTTCAGTAAGTTTCATGGTATAATTATAGGTAAATGCAATACTCAGGTGATTTGATTACAAACGTAATACAATGTGTCTGAAACCCTTTTTTATACCCTCCACCATAGTATGGAGGGTATACCTATGAAGTATATATATTCTTGATCTGCGTCAAATTCGCTAAATTTCTATTCGCTGAAATTTAGTACAGTGGGTTCCCATTGGGTTGGGGAGAGGTGGACAACTTTGAACAGCGCTCGTAAAATCTCGGTTTCAAATTTTTTCGACCCGCGGCCAATTTTTTATATGCCAATCTTGTTCTTTATCTTCGTAACCATTTTGACTAGATTTTTCTGTTGACGACAAAATGTACATGAGTGACCATGTCCCTACAAAAAAAAGTTATTATAAATTTCCGTAAAATACCACAGGTGGGGCACCTTCGAACATGCCCAGAAAACTCCAGTAAAAAGCGGAGTTTTTAACTTTTGTCTTCGATTTCTCAAAATTTCAAATGGGTTAATAAGACTACGAAATTAATTGTATTTTTCACCATATTAATTTTTGTTTTTATGTCATTTTATGCTTTAATAAATTTTTCAAATTTTTTGTATATATTTATACCCTTCACCACACTGTGGTACAGGGTATTATGTCTTTGTGCATATGTTTGTAACAGGCAAAAATAATCGAGATAGACCCATAGTTCCTTTTGAGAATATGCATAGAATCACTTTCTGAGTCGATTTATGCATGTCCGTCTGTCCGTCCGTCCATGTATTTTTGTTAACAAAGTACAGGTCGCATTTATTATCCGATTTGAATGAAATTTAGCACAGGTCACTTAATTGGCCCAAGGACGAACCCTATTGAAATTGGAGAAAATCGGTCCACGTTTAGTCATAGCTCCCATATAAGGGTATCCCCCAAATTTCGGTATTTTGAGGGTATATAGCGCGTTTTTTGACTGAATTCGCTGAAATTTGGTACTTTGAGTTCTTATTGGGTAGCAAATCTCCCTACTAAAAATTATAAATATATGTCCATTTTTTCGGATAGTCCCCATATAAGGGTACCCCCAA